TTTTTCAGATATATTTTATTAAAAAGGTGTGGGACCCAGGGTTAGAACACGTAGCGGAGTTATGCAGTGGGCGTAGTTTTGCTTCATGCTGTGGATTAGTTGAGCTTTTGGAGGGAGGGTGTGAGGGGGTGGAGGGGGGACAGGTGGTGGGCCTTAAGGTACACGCGCTCACACGCTGTTGAGTGAAAGTGGTGATTGGAGAATCGCATGAGGAGAAAGATCATGATGGACAGTTCACATTTTTCCTTTTTGGGTCTTTTATAGTAGGCTTCGGGGAGAGGGAAGGGGCAAGAATAGGGGACGGAGAATTTAATTATCAGTTTATATAAAAAAATAAATAAAAATAAATAATCCCTAATTAAAGTTATGTATGCTAAAAAACTAAGTTGAATATATACTCCAATTTAAGCTCGACTTGTGCTAATCATGGTCGTGTTGGAATGTATTCATTAAGCTCGAACTTGACTAGTATGCTCATTTAATTCCAACAAACTTTAAATTTGTGCTCGAGCTCATTTACTACACATAAAGAGAAAGAAAAAGGAATGAAGACCTTGGGAGCCAATTGAGGCTGCCACGATGCTGTGGTGGGGATGAAGGAAAAGAAAAGATGAGACAAAGAAACAGTTAGTCGCATTAAAGCTCTATTTAGTATAGTCACTTGAGATCACAATCTAGACAAAATTATTTAGGTAAATATTTGGTAAGTTTTTTAAATTTTCAATAACTATATATGAAGTGTACGATAAATGATTTTTTTAACGGTTATAGTTAAATATAATCACGAGAAAAGAAAAATTACTTTATTTAATTTGTTGTTCCAAACTGATAAAAAATTTAACATTATTTATTTTGTTGACAAAATAATAAAGTTGACCACAATATAATTACTATTGCTCATTTGTGGTGAAAATTTTTTTAAAAAAATTACAAGACTAACGGACATAAAACAGTTGACATAAGTTGAATGGATTACAGTGATTGATCCATTTTAACTTATGCTAGGTGACATAAAGTTTGAATGCAAACAGTAATCAATTGCCATTGCTCACATGCAATTTACGGTGGGTGAGTTGCGCAATACACAAATGACAAAACTCTCTTCTTCTTCTTTTTCCCTGTTTTCCAATTAGTATTCGCTTTTATAAGTTATTGGAAGATTTGGGTTAATTTTTTAGAATAAAATTAGTGTATATCAATTTTAATTTTAAAATTTTTTTAAATATTAATTTTTTATTATGTTATTTTATTTAATTCAAAATTTATAAACTTACCTTATTAAATATTAATAATTGTATGTGGAAACCAAAAATACAATTCAAAATTCATAATTTTACCTTATTAAATGTTAATATATGAATTTAGAAATTGATTATATTAGAATATATCACCAGTTTTCAAATATCACTAATTTTCAAATACAAATATGAACATTTAATAATATAAATTTTTAAATTTTGAATTAAATTTTAATTAAATAAAACAATGTCATTTTTTTTTCCTTTTTTGTGTTCACATGCCATTAAAAATAAACAACCTACCATAAGCTTGTGCTAATAATCAAATTAGGATCCAAGACCTTATGCTCGTTTTGATGCGCCAAAAATAAATAATTTATATTTTGCTTACACAAGTTGGCATAAATGTGCCCTTAGTTTCTTATTCATAAATACTGGATTCATTCTGAATCTAACCTTAGATAAATTATTAGATACAGATTGAATCACTTTAAAATTATTGTTGTTAAAGTAAAAATTTTTATAGTTTTTTTTTTAACAATATAAATTGGTGCACATGTAAGATACACCACAACTCTAAAACCAATTAGTTTGGATTTTATAGTATTTTATTTATTGTTATTGAAGTGGAAAATTTTAATTGGAACTTAGGTATGATAATTTTGTGACAGGGCACTTGGTCAGATGGCAAAAAATGATAAAAGAGAGTTTAATAAGTTCCACTTGAAATAAATATCTATCATGTGGACTTGAATGTCTTGATTTTTTTTTTCTCTAATAGTAATAACAATTATTATTAATAATATATATATCTTTATAAAAAGAGGTTGGTGCATATTAAAATCGATTTTCAATAAAAATTAGTATTTTAACTTATATTTAAAAAATAAAAAACTAAATTTTAAATTTAAAAATCTACACCATTAAATAGGCCAAAAGCCCATATTTGTATCTTATATATTTTTTTCTTTTTGCAATCAACACACTAAATTAATTTTCATCCTAATCAACACTCTTCACTATTCAAAACCCATGAATATTTCAAAAATTTACAATCAAACTCTCTACTTCCGCCTTAATTTTGTGATCAAATCCCATATTTACACAATGATTTTATTAGTAATTTGGGGTTTTTTTTTATGGGTTTTAAATTATAAACGGTGTTAATCAAGATAAAAATTACTTTAGGGTATTGATTGCAAAAAGGCAAAAATGTGTAGAGTGTAAATGGCGTTCGCTCCTATTAAATATTGATATATAAAATTTGAAACTAATTATATATTTCAGTATAATTAGTTTTCAAATGAAGATATTAATATTTAATGAATTATATTTCTAAATTTTGAGTTGAATTTTAATTAAATAAAATGATGTTATTTAAAGTTGAAATTTCAATTTTTTTTAAAGAATAGAGATTGATATGCACTTTTTTCTTATAAAAATAAAATTAGTAGTAGTAATTAGTACAAAAAATAAAAAATAAAAAATAAAAAACTAATTAATCTTAAAATTTTTTTACCAAATATCTTAAATATTTCATTAATAATGATTAGATATTATATAATTAAATAATTATATCAATCAATATAATAATATATACAACCACCATTTGTCACCTGTTAATATTATTCACTGTTTGTTAGATTTTAACCCTTTATACCAACTAGGCTCAAAATTATACATCCTTTTCACTATGACTTCTTCCTTTCTGCAGATCTTAGACGCATTGCTTGGGCTTTATGCAGCCATTTGGTCTGAATTTAAGTTAAAGCCTAACCCTTTTGTCTTGCACTAGACGGAACAGATTGTAAAAAAGACTTTATATCTTTTAGAAGTGTGATAATGACGTTTTGTAATGTTTTTACGGTCTAAGAATGAGAGAGGCTTATACTGGTCCTAGTTACTAGCGCTTAAATTTTTGATAGGTTGATAGGTTATTTCTCTCTTATTATTATCTTGATAATATATAAAATATTAATTAAAATTAATAATATATAATTAATTAAACAAGAAATCCTCTCCAATTTTTTTATTTA